CTGAGCCACCTTCCCCTCGGGCCCGGTTCCTTCTCTGGGTTTGCGGGGCTGCGGGTGTCCCCCAAGGTAACGAGTGCCCTGCATTTTTTGCAGTACGAGGATCGTCACGCCAAGTGGGACACCAACCAGGCTGGCTTCAGCCACAGCCACCAGCACGGCTTCGGCTTGCTCAACGCCTGGAGGCTGGTGAACGCTGCCAAGGTAATCCCATCCCTGCCCCGTGCGTGCTCCGCAGGCTCCCAGGGCAGCCCCACAGCGGTGGCAGGGACAGATCCCCTCCTGGCAGCACCGTGGGGTGACTCCTGCACTGCAGGCCAGCGCTCGGGCTGTCCCCCTGCGGCCCTCGCTACGAGGCTGCTTTGGGTATGAAGTAATGAGGCTGAAACCTGCCCCCGAGCTGCTGCTCTCTCACAACTATATATAGCCATGGGCGAGAGCCTTTTTGCTCGTGGGAGACAACAGCTCTGATTCATAGCCTGGGGAGGTTTGTCAGCAGCCCCAGCACCTTCCTCGCCGTGCACCAGGCTGCGGGGAGGGGATGGTGCCCTGAGGATGCAGCTGGCAGCATCCTGGCCTGCAGGGATGTGGTGTGGCATGGCCAGAGCCAGCAGGGACATCCCCACCTCCTGCCCCGGTGCCACCAGCTGCCTGCAGACCCCCTGGCTCCTGGTGCTCACCCACACGCCGAGCACCGTGCTGTGTGCAGGGGTGCTGCTGGTTGCCAGCGATTTCCCCTTTTTCGTGGGGATTTTCGGGCTGCTTGCTCTTCCCCCTTGGTCCTGCCCCTCTGTGCTGCAGCACAACAGCCTCAAAAAACTGCTCAAAGCCGCTCAGGTGGCGGCAGAGACAAAACCACAGCTGCTGGTTTCGGAGAGTCCTGAGTCTCCACCAGCACCTCCAGGCAGTTGCTTGCCTTCCACTCCTAGCCACGTGGGCGCCCCTCAGCAGCCCCGTGGTGCTCGCTGCAGCCCCGTGGTGCTCGCTGCAGCCCACGTGCCCACACGGGAGGCGTTACTGGCAGGAGGTTTGCAGGGGCGGTGGGAGATGGGGAGGTGGGCGTGCAGGGAGCATATGACCTCGTGCTAACTCCTCGTGCCTCTCCCCTGGCAGATCTGGGAGTCCGTTCCCTACCTCGCCTCGTACGTGAGCCCTGCCCTGAAGGAGGGCAGGAGCATCCCGCTGCTGCCGCAGGAGCTGGAGGCCACGTGGAACGGTGAGAGCAGGCGTGCCACGCCACACACGTGCCCATGCACACTGAGGCCCCCAAGCCAGGCAGCACACAGCCTGGCAGGGCACACCACGAGGGGTTCAGGGCCGGGCTGCCCGGGCTTTTCCTGCTCTCCTTCCCCTGCCCTTCCCCGGGGGATCTGCCCTGGGTCTGTGCCCCCTCGCTAAGCCTCGGAGGAGCCGGAGCAAGCCTCGCGCAGGGCCCGGCTGGGCAGCAGCCAGGGCTGTTCCTCGGGCTTTGTCCATGTTAGGTAATCTGCAGCTCCCGACTTGGCCGGCCGCTGTCCACATAAACAAGGCGATGCTCGGGCTGCTACCAGTGGGAAGGAGAGCCGGGATCGGGGGCAGCCCAGCCCTGCACCCTCCCCACCCCGCAGCAGGGCCTGGGGAGCTCCTGGCCCATCCTGGGGCTTCCACACCCCTGGCACGGGTCAGGGGCTCGGCAGCACCCGGGCACAGGGGTCCCCCTGGGAGGAGTTTGGAGCTCAATGTATGTGCCATCAGCTCCCTGCAGATGGTCCTGTGCCCTTCCCTCCTTGCTGGGAGGTGCTGCCCACAGCTTTCCCTCTGTCCTGCCCCTGCCCTGCAGCACACAGCCACCTGGCTGCTGGGCAGGTACCAGCACTGCGGGACCCCAGGGGACAGAGGGTGACACCCTGCTCCAGCCATAAAGCAAGGGCTGGGGGGCAGGCGGCTCCTTTTGCCCTAAATGGAGCTGGGAGCTGACAGCTGGGCAGCAAAGCAGCCCTGGGAAGAGGCGAAAAAAGGCAGTTTGGAGAAGTATGTGCAGAGCCATGTGCCGCCGGGGGCACTGCTGTCCCCCAGGTACCTGGCCCAGAGCTATCCCTTCCCCCTGAGGCTCTGGTCCTGGGGTGGGGGAGCACCCACCTGCACCCACCTGCACCCACCCGCTGCATGGCCGGGGCTGCCAGAAGGGGCCCACAGCATGCCAGGGTTTCCCCTGCTATAATCAGCAGCCCTGGGGCTGAGCCTTTGCGGAGCTGCGAATGGTTTGGGGCTGGAACATCAGGTCTGGCCACCAGGTTTCTCATCCCAGACCTCTCCCCAAACCCAGCCCCTGTGTCGTTGCGGTTCGGAGCAGCCTCTGGGGTTGCCAAACGCTTGCGCAAACGCCGGGTGGGATGGTTTGGTGAGGGATGAGGAATTGTTCCCCTGCAGTGGCCAAAGCGCTCCGGGTGGGCTGCTGAGCTGTGCAGGGTGCGACTGCCCCGGCTCCTGCTGCTTGGCTCCAGCAGCACACACACAGGGGCAGCAATTTGTGCCCTGTTAAGCGGCACAGCAGCACCCCAGGGCCGGCTGGCAGCAGCCACCATCCTGGGCCAACCCTGGCTCCTCTTTCCCAGTCAGCAGCGCCGACCTGCAGCTCTCCGGCATGCGAACCCTGGAGCACGTGGCAGTCACCGTCACCATCACACACCCCCGCCGCGGCAACCTGGAGATCAGGCTCTTCTGCCCCAGCGGCATGATGTCCCTGATAGGAACCACCAGGAGCATGGACTCGTGAGCACCGGGGGGGGCAGGGACTGCAGGGCAGGGCCAGGCACGTGCCCGGCCTCGCAGCTCACGGCTTCTTCCTCCCCCCTCTGCAGGGACCCCAACGGCTTTGCTGACTGGACCTTCTCCACGGTGCGGTGCTGGGGCGAGGAGGCGCAGGGCACCTACAGACTGGTCATCAGGGACACCGGTGGGTCCTGCTGCTGGGGGTGCTGGCAGCGAGGCCAGGCTGGGGCTGGGGGCTGTGGACCCCAGCAGAGGTGGGAGCATCCCCTCCTGGAGCTGCTGCGTGCGCCCCGCCAGCCCCGTGCCCTGGGGAGCTGCCAGCCCAGCGCCTGGGCTGTGCCAGGTGGAAGGGTTCCCCGCTGCTGAGACCTGTTTCTTCTCCAGGAGATGAGAGCCTGAGGCCCGGGACCTTGAAGCAGTGGCAGCTGACCTTGTACGGCTCCTCCTGGTCCCCAGCGGAGATGAAGGAGCGGCAGAGGTAGGAGAGCACAGCCCCGTCTGGGTGGGGAGCAGGAGCTGCCGGGGACCTCGGGCTGCACAAAGCAGCTCCAGTGCAGAGCTGGCAGCCCCCAGTGGTGTGGAAGGCACCCCAGAGCCTTCACGGGCATTTGGGATCCTCCCTGCAGCACCCTCACTGGTGCCTCTGTCCTGCAGGCTGCTGGAAGAAGCCATGAGCGGGCGGTACCTGGACAGCAACTTCTCCCTGCCCTGCCCTCCGGGGCTGGAGATCCCCGAGGAGCAGCACTACACCGTCACGGCCAACACGCTCAAGGTGAGCCTGCTGGGGCTGGGGAGAGGCAGGGGGTGCACGAAGCAGGGACACCCATCCTCTGCAGGGGTCGTGGGGAAGGGGAAACCTGCGGCCCTGATCCTACTGGCACCGTGTCCTACTGTCCCCGTGGGTGACGGGGCAGGGCTGGGGGCAGTTGAGGGTGGTTCTCAGGGGGCTTCCTCCTCCACAGACCCTCCTGCTGTTGGGCTGCTTTGCTGTGTTCTGGACTTTCTACTACATGCTGGAGGTGTGCCTGACCAGGAACAACGTGGGCTTGGACCTGAGCTGCAGCGGCTCCACCGCCTGCAGGTGGTACCCGCACGGGGGGAAGCACAGAGCCCTCGAGAACGGCCTGGAGATGGAGGCCGTGCCGCTCTACAGGGAGAAGGAAGCCGAGGAGGGCGAGGTGGAGTGCGAGCAGCTGCAGCCCGCCCAGGAGGATGGGGGCGAGGAGGGGTCGTGGACCCCCACCCACCCCAAAGCTCCCCCCAGCAGCAGAGCTGCCGGCTGCCACGAGGCAGCCCCCGCCGCAGCAGGGTACCTCGGCCGGGAGGCAGCAGCTGAGCTGCTGTCAGAGGGCAGGGAGCACCAGGCATGCTAGCTGGGGCTGGGGGCTTGGGCTGCATCCCCCCCCTCGGTACGTCCTTCCTGAGCGTGGGCAGCAGAGCCTTCCCGAGCCCCCGGGGACCACTGCCGCTGAGTCCTGCGAAAAGGGGTGCTGGAAGTGGCTCAAGCAAGGAGAAAGTCTGCTGGCAGTGGCAGGGGAGCTTTCCTTTCCCTTGCTCTGGAAAACAAAGCAAGCCTTAAGCCTGTTCCCAGAGGAGCTTGCTCCCTGCCCCCTGTGCTCTGACCCCGCCACCCCGTCCCCTCCAGCAAGCAGGCGCACGCTTGGGAGGGGGGCAGAAGGCAGCAGGGCTCCCTCCAGCATCCTGCCCAGAGGCTGCAGGGCGTCAGTGCCCCCCGCAGGGTGCTGGGGGCTGCCCCCCCACACCCCGTATGCTGCAGGAGGGCTGGGGGTGTCCCTGCGTGGGGACACCGCGCGCAGAGCCTGGCTGGGGCTGGGGAGGGAGGACCGAGTTGCTCTGGCAGCGGCTCGCCTGCGAGCCGGGCTGGTTTGTTCACGTGTCTTTGGGTTCGCTGGTTTATTTTTTTAAAGTTGGGGGGTTGTTTTTTAAACGGCAGAGTCCTTTTGTGTAGCTTTCCAAATAAAGTCTTCTAAAAACCCTCCTCTCCCCGATCCCTCACTCCTCTGCCCTCCCAGCGCTTGCTCGCTTTGGGAACCTGAGTCCCCAAGTGCCCAGGGCGGGGGGGGGCTCTGCTGGGGGCCAGGGCTGCTCCTGGCCAGGGTTGGAAGGAGAAAGGGCAGCGGCTTGGGGTGGGGAGGGCTGAGCCCCCCCGCTCTGCACCATCCACGTCTCCGGGGCTTCAGCTCTCCTGGGGTGCCCGCGGGACGGGGTGGGAGGAAAGCTGGGCACGCGGCGCTGGCTGAAGAACCTTTTAATTTTGACAAAAACGAAGTACAAAACCGAGGCCAATTTTCTTTTCTCCCCATTCGCGAGGATCTCTGCCAGAGTGGCGCTGGGCTGGCGCGGGGTGGTGGGCAGGCAGGGTGGCTCCGGGTGCTGGGGCGCGCGCCCTCCCCGGGGAGGGCCACGGGGCACCCGTGGGTGCCCGCGAGCACGGCTGGGCGCAGGGGGGGACGGGGCCAGCTGGCGGCGGGGCTCGCAGGAGTGAAGCGGGGAGCGTGCGAGGCCGGAGAGGAGGAGAGGAGGAGGAGGAGGAGGAGGAGAGGAGAGGCCGCCCGGGAGCGGGAGCCAGAGCGAGCGCGGCGGGGCACGGCTGGGCTGCGGCTCGGTGCCGGTCGTGGCGCCGGAGGGGTGTTTTGGGCTGGCTGGCTTTTGGTTTCCAATAAATACCAATCGGTGGGGGGCGGCTGGAGTCGCCGGCGCCCCGGCAGCTGCGGCACGCGGGGCTGGAGGGAGCGCAGACGGAGGTCCTGGCTGGGGCTGGGGGAGGCGGGGGGCTGCCTAGCTGATGATCTGCCGGGGCCGGCCGTAGCTCATCCCCGCCTGTGATGCGCCCTTGTTGCTCCCCATCTGTAAGCCGATGACGTTCTTGCCCTCCTTCAGCTGGCTCTCGGTGAACTCCCGCTTGTGCTCCTGCGCCTTCCTGCGGGGCGGAGGGAGAGGCCATGCGGCACCCGCTGCCCCCCCGGCTGCCAGATCCTTGGATCCTCACCCTGGCACTGGAATTCCCCCCATTCCCCTCCCCAGGGCCACAGCCCCAGCCCCCTGCTCCCTGGGGCACCCAAGAAGGGACCAAAACCCCCCAGGGCAGCGGGAAGGGGACGGTGCCAGCCCCGCTGGCTCTGCGGGGAGCTGGCGGGCAGGGGGCAGGGGCGCGAGGGTCCCACACTTACTTCATGAACCAGTTGGGGTCCCCGTGGTAGTTCCCGTCGTTCTTGGTCACCGCCAGGCTCCCCAGGGCCATCAGCGTCCTCTGCACCGCCGCCATGTCCTTGGCTGCCAAAGGACAGTGGTGTGAGCGCCGGCTCGGCGCTGCCAGCCCCCCCCGAAGCCCCCCGCCCGCAGCCCCCCACCCAGCACACCTTCAAAGAGGTCGACGGTCTGGAAGATGTCTGTCTTCACCACGCCGTAGTCCTCGGCCGCCTTGAGGAACTGGGCGATCTGCTCCATCTGCTTGAACACCATGGTGGGGGGGCTGTCGGGGATCTTGACGGGCTTGGAGCCGTCGGGGTAGAGGCTGTTCACCAGCCGGCTGAGCACCTGCGGGCAGCGGGGGGCTGAGGGAGGCCGAGCTCCCTGCACGGCCCCGCTGCCACCCGCCCGGCCCCGCACTCACGATGCCGTTCTTCAGCCAGACCTGGAAGCCCAGGCGGCCCCGGTCGGGGCGGCCCACGCTGGCCCCACACTGCGCCACGATCCACTCCACCAGGCGGTCCTCCAGCTCGTCATCGTACTTCTTCTCGATCTTGGACTGGACGTCCCTGCTCATGCCGTACGCCGGGCCCTTGTTGGCCATGACTGCGGCGGGTGGGAGACCTGGGGCAGGACGGGGTGCGTGAGGCTGCGGGGGCACTGCCTCCCCCTCACCTGGCACCCCACAGCATCCACCTCCCGGCTCTCCCCGTGCCAAGCAGGGGCTGTTCGATGCCCAACGGCACATCCAGAGCCGAGCACTCAACCGAGATCCTTACAGCGTGCCCGGACAGACGGGTCCCATCCCAGAGCTGCCTCGTCCCCATCCCTGCCCGCTCAGCCACCAGCAGGTCCCGAGGGTGCCCACATCCCTGGCTTCGGGCAGCCGGTGGCTGTGCCATGGCTGAAGGTGTCCGGGAAGGAACCGGCACGGCTGGAGAGCAGCGGGGTCTGGGCAGCAGGGCTGGGTGCCTGGGGCACCGCAGGGTGCCGTGGGGTGGCCACGGCTCTCCGTGTCCCCGTGCCAGTGCCAGGAGGCCACCCAGCGGAGCCGTGCCCGTGCCCTTGTAAGGACATGGTGCGGGCAGGCACGGCGGTGGCCAGGGCGGGCAGCACCGGAGGATGCCAGGAAGGGTGCCAGCGGGTGGGGAGCCGGCAGCCAAGCCCCCCGCCGAGGCAGCCTCTCTCCTCCCCGCACAGCTCCTGGCTGGGTTGGAGCCAGCCGAGTGCCGGGGCTGAGCTGTGGAGGCACCTGAGCTCCCCGACCAGCAGCTCACCCCTCACACTGGGCAGATGCAGCCCAGTTCCAGCAGCACGGAGCCTGGGAGGCAGCAGGGAAGCGCTGAGCCTGGCTGCTGGCAGCGATGCAGGGGAGCCCCCAGCCCCGGGGTTCCTGCAGTGTCGGTGCAGGAGCCCCCCACGGGCTGTGCCCAGTCCCGGGCACATCCCCGATGCCGCAGGCAGCACCGCTCAGCTGGCACAGCTCACGGGGCACTGACCGTGACCCCGTGCCCACCTCCCACCTTCACCCCCTTCCTGCAGGAACTGGGGGCTGGGGCTGCTCCCCGAGTGCTCCCCGAGTGCCCCAGGGCTGGGCACAGCCAGCACCCACCAAAGCTCTGCTCCCGGGAGCCGCGGAGCCCCGGTGGCAACCCGGTGCTGAGGACCGGGGGCAGCAGCGCACCCTGGGCAGGGTCCTCAGCCCGTGGAACTGCATCCCCCCCCCCCAAGGGGAGAGGGACCCGAATCCAGGGAGCAGCACCCCCATTCAGGGAGCATGATGCCATCCTGGGGAGCAGCACCCCATCCCGCAGAGCAGCACCTCAATCCAGAGAGCAGCAGCCCAATCCCGGAGAGCAAAATCCCAGTGCGGGGAGCAGGACCCCATCCCGGGGAGCAGCATCCCAGCACGGGGAGCAGCAGCCCCATCCCCGCCAGCAGAATCCCAATGCGGGGAGCGCGACCCCATCCCGCAGAGCAGCACCCCCACGTCCCAGGGGCCGACGTCCCCAGGGGGCACCCCCCGTGCCCGCCACCCCCCCGCAGCAGGACTCACGAGCGGCTGCTGAGGGATGCGCGGGGCGATGCTGTGCGCGGGAGCGGGCGCTCTGCACACTGGGGAGGCCGACGCCGAGCTAAAAGGCCGGTGCCGGGGCAGTGATGTCAGCCAGCCCGCGGCCAGCCCCCCATCCCTCCCTCGCGGGGCGCACCCAGACTCCTGCCCAGGCACCATATTTGGGGAAAAGACTCCGAAAAGCGGTGACTAAGGGCCCGTGCCGGAGCATTCCCCGCGTGCCTCAGCCCCGGCAGTTTTGGGGCAGGGAGGAAGCGGGGCCCCGGGCTCTGATGGAGTAAGTCCTTTTATAGGCAGGCGCTCGCCAAGGTTTTTCTGCCCTGACTTCATGGCTGGCTTTCCCCTGCGCTCACCCCGCGGGGCTCTGCGGGGCTGGGGGCACGGGGGGGACCCAAGTGGCTGGGACGAGGCCACGAGGTGGTCGCGGTGCGTGCCGGGGGGCTGCTGGGGAGCAGAGCGAGGCAGGGCTGGCCTGCACAGCCCGGAGAGGCCGTGGGCATCCTGCGGGCACACGGCCAGGGCTCAGGAGTGGCCCCAAGAATTGCTCTGACCCCGTTGAGGAGGGCAGGATGTGGCTGGGCAGCCCTGGAGCCAGGTGGGGATGGCACAGGGACCCCCAGCCCCCAGGGACCCCCAGCCCCCAGGGACCCCCAGCCCCAGGGACCTGGCATCCCCCCAGCTCCGTCCCCAGCCCCCCCTGCAGTGCCAGGAGCTGCAGGACACAGCCACAGCTCCAGGATTGTCCCCATGGCCACAGGACCCCAGGGGCTCAGCCCAGGACCCGCAGCCTCCCCAAAGCCCCCCTACATCCATGGGTGCACTGCCTGCACCCCAAACCCCTCCGCACCCCAAACCCCACAGCCCCACAGCCCTGGGGGGCCTCTCAGCTTCCCAGGAGCCAAGGGGGAGGCTGGGGGAGCTGCAGCGTGCGGCTGACACCCAGTGGCCCCTCCAACCCCACCCCAGGGTGCTGGATGTGCCGGGAGCCCCCAGCCCCGGCCCCGCAGGAGGAAGCAGGCACGGGTAAAGTGCAGACACTTTAATGGGAGCCGCTCCCCGGCACGGCCGCAGGAGCAGCGGACGGGAGGAGAAATCCAGCCGGGCGAGGGGCTCGGCGGGACGCGGCCCCCCCGGGGGCTGACCCCGGCAGCGGGGTGCAGGGGCAGGGCCGCCACGCTCCACACCCCAAAACTGGCATTAGGCACTGAAGGTCCCGCACCCGTGTGCGTGTGGGGCCGCGCGTCCCAGCAGCAGCAGCACCTTGTCCAGTGTCACTTGTCACCACGGACGGGCGCCACGGGGGACGCCACGCAGCCACGCAGCCCCCCCGGTGCAAGAGAAGGGCTGGGCTGCCATCGGGGGTCCCCAGCCCCATTTTCGGCTAAGACACGTGCTGGGCAGGCCGGGGGGGTTGGCCGCAGGCACCCGCACAGTGAGGAGGAGGCACGGCGAGGAGGGGACGGAGAGGCTGGCGGGACCCCCAGCACGGGCATCCCTCCCCTGGAGTGGGGGGGCTCCAGCCGGGATTTTGGCACAGCCCCGGGGGGCGGCACCACGGAGCAGCGGCCCCTCTGCTGCCGGGCCCCTAGAAGACGTAGATCTTGTCCCGCTGGACGCAGTCCAAGTCATCGTCCAGCGTCAGCAGCACCTGTGGAGAGGGCAGCGGAGGGGCCGTGGGCAGGGCAGGGGAGCTGGCCCCCCCCCTGGCTGAGCCCCCCGGGGTCCCGTGGCTGCGGGGAGGGCAGCACCTACCAGGAAGGAGCCGAACATGGCGATGGAGGAGAGGAAGTGCCAGATGTCGTGGTCGTCGAAGAAGTCGAGCAGGATGCAGTCGCGGTTGTGCTCCCGGGACTCGGCTGGGGTTTTCTATGCGGGACGGGGCGAGCTGTCACCCTGCCCACCCCGCTGCCACCCCCTTGCCCCACACCCAGCCACCTACCTGCCAGGTGCTGAGCCCCTGGAAGAAGAAGAAGAGGGCGAAGCCCCAGACCACGGAGGTGCCGATAATGCAGAGCAGGGGGATGAGCTTGATGCGCTCGCCGCTGCGGAGCTGGAGGAGAGGTTGGGGTCAGCACGCAGGGGGCACCCGGCAGCACGGAGGGGCAGCCTCTGGCTGAGCACCCCCAAAACGCCCGCCCCCGGTGCCCTCCCCGCACGGGCTCCGCTCGCACCTTCATGATGATGTAGAAGGCGAAGTAGAGGAGCAGGTTGCAGATGCCGATGGCCAGCAGGTAGGAAGCAAAGTCATTGGGGTGGACAATGAGGCCGTAGGCAGCGCTGGGGAGGCAGGGACAGGCAGCGGGGTCAGCTCAGCCTGCGGTGTCCCCCCCCCGTGCCCTGCTGTCCCCCGGGACCTGCTGGCAGCTCCCCCAGGGGATGGGGCGGTGCAGGGGGACGCTGCGGTGCCGCGGGTGCAGGGGCCGTGCTCAGCCCACAGCTGCCACGAGCTGGGTGTCCTCAGCCCCGGGGGCTGGCCTGGGGCCGGGGGGGAGCAGGGCAGGGGCAGCAGCGGGGATGGGGGGGTCTGGGTGTGGAGGAAGCAGCGTGGGGGCCCGGCTCTGCACTCACAGCGACCAGTTGATGATGTTCCCCATGACCAAGAGCACCATTCGGTCCTGCCAAGGGAGAGGAGACGGGGTGAGGAGAGGGCCTGGGGGGCACCCGGCCAGGCTGGGGGGGGAGGTCTGCGGCGTGCCAGCTCTCAGGCACAGCCCCAGGCTGGTGGCCAGCAAGCTCGCAGGGCAGCGACGTCCCTTCCCCTCCCGTCACTCACCACGTACATGGGCCCACTGCACTGCCGGACGCAGTCCGTGTACAGCACGTGCAGGATCCTGCGCAGGATGCCCGAGTCTGTGGGGACAGGGGAGGTAGAGATGGGGGTCCCGGAGGTACTGCTGGGGGTCCCAGAGCTGCCCCCTGCCCGTCCCAGCCCTGCCAGCCCCCAGGTAACCCCTCACCGAGCTTCCAGCGCCCCATGTAGTAGAGCTGGGTGCTGAGCAGGAGGGTGGCCACGATGTGGATGACGGAGAAGACGATCCAGAAGGCCATGTTCCCTTTGCCAAACACCTGGGGGGGGAGACAAAAGCGGTCAGGGGGCTGGCGAGCTGGCCACCCCGAGCCGTGCCCGGCCCCGCCGCGCTCCTGCACTCACGACGCCGACGACGGAGAAGAAGATGACGACGGCCAGGCAGGCGTAGGCGCTGTAGGCGCTGGCGTTGATGTCGGGGTGCCGCTTCTGGTACAGCTTCAGCATGCAGAGCCCGGCGATCATGTACATGAAGGAGGTGTCTGCGGGACGGCAGCGGTCAGGGGGGCTGCGTGGGGGCTGCCCCCAGCATGGTGCCGGGGCGGCACTCACCGAACTGGAAGTTGGTGTAGTTGGGGCAGACGTGGTAGCAGGCGCTGAGCAGCCCCTCCATCATCAGGGCCGTGCCCATGGCGTAGAAGAGCCCGAAGTGCTTGGGGATGCCGCACTCCTGGGGGGGCAGAGGGGAGGGGAAGGGGTGCTCAGGGACGCCGAGACGCCCCCGGGAGCAGAGCCCCGCGGCCGTGTGTCCCCTACCAGCGCGTGCGTGTCGTTGCGCATCAGCGCCCGGTTGTAGTTGATCTCCCGCTGCAGGATGATGAGCAGGAAGAGCAGCCCCAGCAGGACGTAGCCCAGGTTGCTGAGGATGTTGTTGAAGGCGCTGCGGGAAAAGGGCCAGCCCCTCAGCACCCCGGGACCCCCCCCCTTCACTGCCCACCCCCCATGGCCCTGCCCCACGCCCGCCGCCCTGACCTGAGGTTCCCCAGCGGGTGGGCGCACAGAAAGTTGTAGTAGCAGATGTCCTGGTTGCCCGTCACGTTCACCACCTGCAGGCACAGCACAGTGAGAGCAGGAGGTGGCAGGGAGAGGACATGGGGGGACGCCCCGGGGACATGGGGACGTTCCCATCATGGTTTGGGACAGCTCCCCGGGTCGGGCACCCCGACCCCGCTCACCGTCTGGTAGGTGATGACCAGCTGGATGACCGGCAGGGCGTAGAAGACGGCGATGGTGGCGATGTTCCTGGGGGGGCACAGCGGTGTCGCCAGGGTGCCCATTGGGGACACCGTGGGGTCACCGTCCCGATCCCCCCCACTCTATCCTCTCCTCACCAGAAGTAGATCTGGTATTTCTTCCGCAGCACCCGCTTGTCCTTGCGGGCCAGGTCGGCCACGCAGAGGTATTGCTGCAAGGAGAGGCAGGGTCGGAGCGGGGCAGGGCTGGGCGCCCCGGCACGGCCCCGCACAGCCCCGACGGGGACGCACCTTGGTGCGGATGACGTTCTTGTCGTAGTCGATGTCGGCCAGCGTGTCGTAGTCGTCCTCCTCCACCGAGCTCAGCGAGTCCAGGCGGGGCCGGCCGGCCACGTTCTCCAGCGACCGCTCCCCTGCGCCAGAGCCGGGGGGTGAGCGGTGATGGGGGCACCCCACGGGGCCAAGTCCCCCTCGCCAACACCAATCACCCCCAATTACACCCGCGCCCCCCCTTCTAGCTCAGCCAGGGCCTGCCCCAGGATTTGGCCGCACCGGGCGGGCCCTGTGCCGTGCGGGGCTGGGGCAGAGCGGCTGCGGGCACGGCGGGGGCTGCGCCCGGGGCAAAGCTCGGGGCAGGGCAGATTGGCTCGATTGGACCGCCCCTGCTCGGCACCAACATCTACCCATAGCAATGCACAGCTGCCTCATCGGGGCCGAGGGGATGCGCCGCTTGAACTGCTCCTGCCCTTCAAAGGAAAGCGAGAGTTACCGGGGCAGGACGGGGGGGACCCAGCGCAGCTCCCGGCACATCGCCAGCCGGCGGTGCCCACCCCAAGACCCCACCTCGGGCTGTCAGGGAGGGACAGGGGCTGCCAGGGGACGGAGAGAGGCAGAGCTGAGCTGCCAGCAGTCGGTGCCCTCGGGGCAGCCCTGGCACATCGGCTCCATGGTGTGGCACGGCGCAGGACTCACCCACGTATCCGTAGGAGACCTCTGCAGAGCCCAAGCTGCCCGAGGCGGCCTCGGTGCTGCCGGAGGAGCCGTTCTCTGCGGGGAGGGACAGGGTGGGCATGCGGCACGGCCACCGGGCCCCATGGGTGGGGAGGTGAGGGGCAGCAGGCAGCACTCACCGAAGGA